TGAACTAAGTACCGGTCGCGAACGTACGATTTTTCCATGTTGTTTTATTAACAGTTAATTGAACATTTGTTCGCTCTCTTTGAATTTTTATCTTCTTGTTAGATTACAACAAAGAGATTTGGTAGAAAAAGTGCAAGCAAATCATATGATTTCCTTGCGAAATAATTAATCATAAAAATGCCTTTAAAAGTAGCTAAAAATAAAAAGAACATTTTTTCAGTTTTCAGGGAAATTTCTTCAACAAAACAAATGAATTATGCTATGGTTCCACTGTATTATGAAAATATGGCCATTTATTTATGAAAATACGCAAATACGTACGATGATTATGAAGATTTTTTTGTTTCGGTTCTGGTTGACCATTTGACGAATTTTCTTATCTTTTTACAACAATTATATATATTATATATTTTGTAATTAATAGATTTGTTTCAGTTTTTCAGCTCTAATTTGAATCTAACAAAATTGTTTACATCAGAATCCACGTGTTTAAGAAAAGGAAAGAAAAATTAGCTGACACACAAGATCAAGCAATCTCGTACATCTCCGTCAGGGGTCACATATACCGAAAACAACCAGATTAAATCCGATTCCCAATTTCTTTTGTATTTTGTACTGAATCTCTTCTTATTAAATTTGTAGAAAATGTTATTGTTTTTTAGAATTAAATTTTCCAAAATTCAAGGTCTGTGGCTTCAAAAGTATGTCGATTTTTTAAAATTCACGCCAAAACCTACTTTCTTCAATACATATAAAATCGCCATCAAAGCTTAATCATAGTCGATTTTATAGGTATTTTACCGCAAAGTAATCGCTATTTTACACAAACTCGTAAAAATAAAGTTTATTATATAGAGCTACGTTTTGACAGCAGGGACCAACGCAAAAAAGTATGCGGTGTAGGGAGAAACACTACTAAGTTTACTTTCTTGCTTTTACGCGCTGCGTTCTCGCACATTATTTGTTTTGCCTTTTTTAGCTCTGTGTCTACACACACCGGAAATCGGCAATGCGAAACTCACATATGTATGTACTTAGAAGAATTACAACATGCAAGAACATAATTCAAAGTTAACAGCTGCTTTTAATAACCAAAGTATACATTTTACCAAAGCAACAGGTGCATGAAATGTTTGGTACCGCATAAAAACAGCGCACAAAAGAAACGAGTAAAAAGAAACACCGCATAATTTTTGATGCCGTGCTTTGACACACTAGTTTAGAAAAATCATAGCGAGTGTTCGGTGTACCTCTAGTTGCGATGCACTAATGCAGCTCTCGGGCTTAAATGCTAAAGCCGTAACGAAATTGTCTTTTCTTCTGCTTTCTCGTTATGTATGCGGTTTATCCAAAAGTCATAGAACTAAAGTTTTTTGTATCTAGCTGTTTAGCACATTAAAAGTAATTGCGGCACCCAAAAACCCCTTTTGCGACAAGCAGACAAACAAGCCGACGCAAATGTTCATGTAAAAAAGTTCCTCCAAAGCTTATTTATGGAGGTACTTTTTAACGGAGCATCTAATCTAAGCAATGGAGGTGTCATTAAACGCGTAATTTTAGAAACACTATATATACCATGATTAAATTTTCATATTATACCCTTACAGAGATTTCAGTCAGAAGTTTGCAACGCAGTGAAGAGACGTTTCCGACCCCATAAAGTATATATATTCTCGATCAGCATGACTAGACGAATCGATCTAGCCATGTCCGTCTGTCCGTCTTTCCGATTGTCCGTCCGTAAAGCTATCGGGCTGAAACTTTCCCAAAAGTCTTAATTCTTTTGCATATATTTTATAGCTCCCATAGGAAAAATCGGAAAAAAAATTAAAAAAATTATATCTTTGGTACTTTTTAACATATAACCTCCTAAGCTTGGAAACAACATTTTTTAATTAGTTTTGAATTTCAAATTAAATTTAAACAAAATCGGACGACTATAGCATATAGCTTTCATAGGAACGATCGGAAAATTGGTGGGAAAATAATATGAAACAAATTATAGCTTCGGTGTTTTTTAACATATAACCTCCTACGCTTGTAATAAAATTGTTTAATTAGTTCTGAATTTCGAATTTAATTTTATCAAAATCGGACGACTATACCATACAGCTGCCATAGGAACGATCAGAAAATTGGTTGGAAAATAATATGAAACAATTTTAGCTTCGGTGTTTTTTAACATATAACCTCCTACGCTTGTAATAACATTTTTTAATTAGTTCTGAATTTTGAATTTAATTTTATCAAAATCGGACGACTATGTAATATAGCTGCCATAGGATCGATCGAAAAATTGGTGGGAAAATCGGTGTTTTCTGACATATTATCTTAATATATTGGGAATGTATTTTTTTGTATTTTTAAATTTAATAATTATATATACATGTTTAATATATATACAAACAAGGAAGAGAGCTATAGTCGAGTACCTCGACTATAATATACCCGTTACTCAGCTAAAGGGACCAAGGGGAAACGGAGATATGCAAGCAGCAAAGCGTGGCAAATTTTTTTTTTCGATCAATAGATAGGTATTGACGAGACCAATACATTGCAGTTAAAATTTTTTATCTGGCATGAAAATTGTGGGCGTCACAGGTTTGGGCGGTTTGTGGGCGTGGCAAACTTTTTTTTAGGTCAATCGATAGGTCTTGATGAGAACAATACATTTCAGTTAAAATTTTTTATTCTAGCATCAAAACTGAAGGAGCCACAGTTTTGGGCGGTTTGTGGGCGTTAGAGTGGGCGTGGCACAAACTTTCGCTGAGTTCGAGTGGGCGTGTTAAACTTTTTTAGGTCAATCCTAAACTATTTGGATTAAAAACTAACAAATTAAAACACGACGTAGATAAGATTCGAATTTTTTTTAGGGCAAAGCATTCCATTAATTTTTTAAAAATAAGTATTTTTTCTTGAGCAATAGGGGATTTCGTTATATTTTCAAGAAAAAAGCGCCATTAGTTAAGGAAAGATATTTTAGTTCTTATTCTCTAAATATTTAAGGGCGAGATTTCGCAAACTTAAGACCCATTTTTTATTTTCAAGAAAGATTTATCTTGTTTATCGGGTTCTAAAATCACGGGCGATATTAGAGTTCTTAACTGGTTTTGTCGGTCGGAACCTTGAAATGTTTTTTTCGATATACTAAATAAATACGCTTTCTAATTCTTTCCGTTTGCGTTTATTGCATTTATACAATTTAAGTAAATGCATCGTCATTAGCAATTAAAAAAACCTTTTCAACGACTTACAAGTATACATTTGTCGCTAAACTAGCGGGGTTTTTAAAAAGACGTAGAACAAAAGTTGTTTATCTTGGGCTACATAAAGCAGTCAAAATTAATAGAGATAGAGAACCTAAAACAGCGATATGATTCATGTAAACCCACAAGCAAACGGACAAAAATTTTAATTTGGAAAAGTCACTCAAAATCTTGTTTTGCGAATAGCTTTTGATAGGTGCTTCAGATTTTAGCATATAAGTGTCATTCGACATTGTATTTTAAGCCAGAATAACTGGGTCTGTTTTGGTTAACAGATCAAATGTTTCATCATTTTTGCCTTTACACTTTCACTACTCTTTCTCCCAAGCCAATTACAATTTTTAAAGTCTTGGTATGCAATTCTTTTAATTTTCGCGGTCGGACCTTACCAGCAGATTTTCATTTCTTCGTGTATATATAGTAGTCGCCTTGGCACACTCTCCTTGTGCACTTCGTAACTATGTGTAGTGCCGTCCACAGTGATACTATTTCTTAAAAATATTTTTGTTAAATTCAACAAACCACCTTGTGGGTTCGAGACTTTTAGTCAACGGAAATGGTCAATTTGTTCTATATAGTGATCCGAACTAAGATATACATATATCACATACCTTCTACATACGTTTTATAAAATACAATACCTTTTAATTCTTCGAATAAGTATAATAAAAATGTTTTCCGCTTTAGGTAGGCTTGTTTTGCCCGATTTCTTTTAATCAAAGTATAATTTTGAAATCAAAATAAACTCGACATTTTGTAAGGAGTCATGCGAAATATATATACAATAATACTATTTATGTCGGTAATTCCTTCGACTTACCTAATGTTTGCTTGATCGGACAACCATTTCATTACCTGGAGGCATGATTGCACTCGACTATAGCGTTATTCTAGTTTTCTTGCTTATGGGATATTGCGCATACGCCTCATGGTGCACGCGATTTTATAGTTACATTTAACACTGCACATGCGCCCCATAGCATGTCATTTTAGGGAAAGAAATTAAATAAATAAACTGAAACTAACTTGGAAATACACCTACAAGAAAAACTTAAAAAAAGAAAAGCGAAAAAGGAAAAAACCAGCAAGCAAGACATAGTTTCGGTTGTCAGTGTGAATAGCAAATGTCATTAAGAATCACTTAATGAGCCAATTTAGACAATTGATCCATATGCCTTAGTTTACGCGTACACACTCATGTTCACACACATGCACTCGCGGGGCCATAAAGAGATCCGCACATACATATATATATGAGTAAATTTATGCAGAAAAACCGTTTTGCTCGGCTTAGCCCTGTGTAAGTATGGACCTATGACGCTATTATACGCACACACACACACTTAATTGCACTGCATTAAAATTATTCCATTTCATTCGTGACTTAATTGATTTATTAAATTTGTTTCTCTCTCTTTTGTCGCCGACGTAGGGCCTTCACACAAAACATAAAAATAACAGAAAAAAATTTGCAAATTTACGATGGATGTTTTTTTCTTGGTAATTAGTTGAGAGGACACTTGTGGTATAAACTTTAAACTTATCTATAGTTTTTAAACTTTTGTTTTTCCTCTCGGTACGATTTGTTTCTGGTTTTTTTTGTTTTTTTCAGGTTAATTGATTGAGAGGGCACACTTTTATGCGGATAATTGTTTAATGATAGGCATAGCTTATCTCGATTTTAGAGCTTAGTACTAGCTTAGCCCTTAGCTAGTTAGGTTAGTGATTATGTACCCGTAGTGCTGCTAAGACCCCAATAGTCTTCCATTGCTGCACGGTGTTGTAGTGGTGATGGACACTCGTAAACTGCGATGCGCCGTTGTATGAAGCGCAATCTCAATCCCCACTTCAATGGTGTTGATTTTCTCTTTCCTTACTTTGCCGTTATATTTTCGCGTTTCTCTCGCCTCCCTAGCCTTTCTTTTATTCTCGTTTCTTTTGCCTTCCTTTTTTATCTCTTTTTCTTTTCTTTGCCTTTAGTCTCTTTTAGCTCGGCTTAAGTGAGACGGCGAGAGTTATCTCAATTTGCGCTAAAGATCCAGATTCACAATGGCTCGTAGAATCCCCTGGTAGTTGGAATTGTGGGTGTTGGATGGCGGATGACAAAACGGAGGCAATTGAGGACCAGACACGAACTGCCACGCACGGACACCGCACAAACACGTACACTATTTCACCGCGGCAAGACGCTTCTGCATCTCGGTCCGTTCGAAAGTCGGGCGATCTGGCGAAATAAATATTTTTCAAAGCATCTATGAAAACCGTATGCATTTAATATTTTCGATCTTTCCAAATTGTCATTTATAAAGGCAAGAATCAAGGGAAAACAACACGTATAAAAAAGTAGTAGTAAAGTCAATTAATTATTCCTATATTTAAGACTCTTAAAGTAGCATATGTACATTTTTTCTTTTTCCGCTATACGAATTCATTTTTTTCTATATTGTTAAATAAAAGGAAAAGATAATTTCAGACAAGGGATAATCATATATACGAGTAGGTACATTAGGGCGGTCCACGTTTGCTTGGAAATTTTTAAGGTCCTACTCTCATCCGCCTATAAGGAATTGAGGAATTTAAGGTATACCAAACGAAATTTTTTGAAAAAAATGCGTTATAGGGTCTGCAAATTGTTTTCAAAGTTTATAACTCATACGCACTGTTGGACTGGTCAAATATATTATTTTCATATATGTAGCTGGCCCTGACTTGGACGAAAATTCTGTTGTGTCTAATTCTGACTTTAGTTTTCCCTCCAAAAACATTTCGGTATTTGTCGTCAATGTTTATACCCCTTACTCGTAGAGTGAAATGGAATACTAGATTTGTTGGAAAGTATGTAACAGGTAGAAGAATGCGTTTCCGACCCTTTCAAGTGTATATATTCTTGATCAGGATCACTAGCCGAGTCGATCTTGCCATGCCTGTCTGTTCGTCTACCCGACTGTTTATCTGTCCGTCCGTATGAAAGTTGAGATCTCGTTGAGATCTCTAGGAAGTTGGGATTTGGCATGCAAATTCTTGAGGTTCTGGGACAACGCAAGTTTGATTCAGCAGGGTGCCACGCCCACTATAATACAATAGAAATCGGCCATAACGCTAAAACCCGTCTAGCGCCAACATATTGCAATATTTTGTAAAAATTTAAACAAGTTCTTATTATCAATACACATCTGCATGCTAAAATTATTCAAATCGGACTATTCCTTAAAAAGTTATAGCCAAACAAATAAACGACCATAAGCCCACGCTTTTACCTGTCTGTAAAAGTGTAAATGTCACTTTGTTTTGATTATCAATATCTATCTTCATGTTGAAATCGGACCATCCATTAAAAAGTTGCAAGCATATAAAGAAATCGACGCTAGGTGACACCGTTGCGGGGTGTGCAATTGTGAACAGTCGCTATGCTTTACTTTGCTTTTCTCCTGCCGTCAATTTGTTTATTCATATTGACCGAGAAACGGGAGTTAACAAAGTTGGAAAGGGGAAATCGATCTTTTTGAAAAAATGTATATCTGTCGTATGAGTAATTTAAAAAAAAACCTTTACTTCGTTAATGCGATGGCCATTTCACGCTTTCATTTCATGAAATGGGCTGATTCGTGTGTGTTTCATGTATACGACAACACGTTGCTGACTATGAATTCAACCTAAGGCGTGAAATTGTGACAGTTAAACTCTGCTATATAATTATCGGAGATGCCAGATCAATGTAAATTAAATTAAATTAGTTTTCATTTTTTATTTTGACGGTAGAAAATATGTTATACTGGGTTGCACACACTTTATCTTTAATACTAGCAAGTTTGTTACATGCGATTGGAAAAAATTATTCAGCTTAATAATCGCTCAAACCTTTTCCCACCGGTCTGGCATCTCTGTTAGCTAAGATTGAATAAATGCATGAATTCGCCCGCATAAACAGGGGCAAATTTTTTTCACGCTTTTAAGAAATCAAGAAACCTATTGCATAAATACAGTATTTGAGGACGTTCCAAAGGTCTAAGGCACAAAAAAAAATTTAGTTTTTGAATACTTTTTTTGCAAACTTTAATCAACCATGTGAAGGGGTGAGAACAAGAATTTTGACCGCCCTAATGTATATATTTATATTTAATTTCTGCTTTACCAAAAACTTTTTGATGCTGGATTCGGGTAGAAAAATATTTATCCCTGAATAAAAAATCGATTTTTGACTATCCTTAAGCTAGCAATCCTGAAGGATGACATATTAATTTCACCCGTTACTCGTAGAGTAAAAGGGTATACTAGATTCGTCGGAAAGTGTGTAACAGCAAGCGTTTCCGAGCTCATAATGAATATATATTCTTGATCAGGATCACTATCCGGTCGATCTAGCCATGTCCGACTGTCCCTATGAACGCGGAGATCTCGGAAACTATGAGAGCTAGGATGTTGTAAATTTTTGGGCTTCCTGCGCAGCGTAAGTTTATTTCAGAAGAGTCCCACGACCACTCTAATCCAATCCAGTCCATGTTCTCAAGTTAATAAGGAAATTTTTTTAAACTGATCCCATTTGGTTGGAAGCCAACCCTACGTTTCGGTCAAATATTAAGGAAAAGGGCTTTTATGAATTGTCAACAAACGGGCTGGATGTAGTTTTATTTATTGCTATTTCAATTCAAAACTGTCTTCTCTTGTATTACAAAAAATTATTATCTTCCACAAATCGGATTTGCATTGTTTTTGGCGTATTCGAACAAACCTGAAGAGTTATGTTCTAGTTTTTGACGCTTAATCACTTCTAATCGCGAATTTTCTTGATAATTTGTAATCAGTAAAAAATTCTGGAATCTTAAATGCTTACAAGTGCTGAGGGTGTTTTCAAAATCAAATGTCCAGCTGTACTTAAAAATATTATTTAGCTCTAGCTTTGCAGAAATTTCAGAAAGAACAAATTTGTCAATGTGAAGTCTTTAGATCTTAAATTTATCCTTCCAATGACATGTAAAACAGGAACCGTGACCCTTTGAAACTTAGCCATATCCAGCTTTTTTCCGCTAAGCTAGCTAGATTTAGGATTTAAGGCAAGCCGACAAACATACTTTCAGGTTTCAATTTGAAAATTACCTATCTTTTAATTCTGCATATATATAGAAGTCGCCTTCGCACACTCTCCTGGTGCGCTTCGTCACTACGTGTACTGCCGTCCACAGCGATATGAGGCATTTTTATGCCATAAAGTGCTATTTGATGGTTGTCGAGTGTAGGGTTACCTCCCTACAATTGTCAAGATTTTTCATGTCCGTCAAATTAGCGTCGGCCTATTAGCAACGTGGAATGGTGGAATTTGGAAGGTGGGGGCTCTTTTTATACCCGTTACTCGTAGAGTAAAAGGGTATACTAGATTCGACGGAAAGTATGCAACAGGTAGAAGGAAGCCTTTCTGACTCGATTCGTCTAGAAACATCGCGTTCACTGCGTTGCAAACTTCTGACTGAAATCATTATACCCTCTGCAAAGGTACTAATCACAAAAATTTGATATTTTTTAATTCTATGTAAATTCTTAAAGAATGCTTTAAATAGATTCTACAAATACATACAGAATATTGCAGATTTGGTAGATAACAATCTTCACAAATATGAATGTAGAAATAATAATGATTTTAATTAAATTTGTGCTCAATATTGTAAGATCGTTTTTTTCAAGCATTCAAACTGTAGGATTGTAGGCGTTAGAATAGGTGTGGCCATTCGCGTAACAAACTTGCGCTGCGTACTAAGCTAATGAATCTAAATCTATAATCTCTCTGGTTTTTATAGTTTAGGAGATCAAAGCGTTCACACGGACAGACAGACGGACATGACTAGATCGACTCGGCAAGTTATCCTGATCAAAAAAATATATACTTTATGGGGTCGGAAACACTTCCTTCTACCTGTTACATACTTTCCGACGAATCTAGAAAACCCTTTTACTCTACGAACATCGGTTACGAAAAACCTCTGGCTACCTAAGGGTTAGCATATTAAACCCGATAATCTCGGAGAGGTATTTTCCCGAAAATGGTTTTTGCGGTGGTCACGGTTCCGCGAAAACGGTGTGTTATCGCTTTTCCATGCTTCATATAAGAAAAATAATTATCTTATCGCAAAGCAAAGGTTTATTTATTTTTTTAAAATAAATTTTGAGTTTTTGAGAAAAAATGTAACCCTTAAAAATAAATTTTTCCGTTCAAACCGTCGCCATTTCCGCTGTAACAAAAATGTGCGAAAATCGTTGGTTCAGCGACATGATCTGTTTTTTTTTACGAGCACACCTAGCCTGTAGCGCCACCTATCTTTTTCTTTTATAGCGACACCTAGCCTATAACGCCAACTAGCCTATAGCGCCCCTTGCGGCTTGGTGGCGTATAAGTGACAACAGCCGATTTGCTGCAGGTGGTGTGAAATCTCGATTCAATTTGCAAGATATTGATTATTATTTGGTTTTAACTTTTTAATGAATTTTCCGACTTAAATCATTTTTGGCATGCAGATGGGTATTGATAATAAAAAACAAATCTCTTTATCAAAATATAACAAAATGTGGGCGCTAGGCGGGTTCTAGTGCTATGGTCGTTTGTGGGCGTTAGAGTGGGAGTGGCACCCTGCTGAAACAAACTTGCGCTGCGCAAGAAGCTCAAGAATCTATGTACATGCCAAATCCCAACATTCTACCCTTTATAATTTCCGAGATCTCAGCGTTCATACAGACACACGGACGGACGGACAGACGGACATGGCCGAATCGACTCGGCTAGTGATCCTGATCAAAAATATATATACTTTATGGGGTCGGAAACGCTTCTTCGACGTTACATACTTTCCGACGAATCTAGAACACCCTATTACTCTACAAGTAACGGGTATAATGACTAACATATTTCTTGTTCATTTTTGGATCAGATAAGCCATTCTCCAAGATTCGAGACCGCCGCGAAACCTTGAAATTAGTTGAGGTCCGCCATTTCCTACAACTACGACATTTTCAAATTTTAAAAATTGAATTTATGTGCATTTAGGCATATAAAACGGAAATTAAAAAAAACGTTACATTCATACAATAATATAAAAGAAATTTATTTTTTGCGGTACAAGTCTATATAACCCCTTTATTTATCAATTAGACTTTTCCGTTTCTAACCTTGTTAACTGATTGATTTAGTTTTCATTGTTAAAAAAAGGGAAGAACAAAATAACTTAGGGTTGAGAAGTTTAATATAAACTTGTGATCAAAGACAACACCTAACAATTTTCATTCAAATGTGGGCCGCTCTAATTTGTTTGATTCCCTCGATCAATGTCCCAAAATAATCCTTAGCTACAGTAAATAAAAATAATAATATAATTGATCTGGTTCGTATTCGTTTTTATCAAATTCGCATGCCTTAAATTAATTAAAATTGTTTAAATTATAATTTTTAACATACAGCTGGGCTCCGATTTTAATTTTCACAACTTTTTGTCATTTTACTTTTCTAAACGCTAAAATTGGTGCTTCGGTTTACGCAAAACAAATTTGTATTTGCGTTATGAAAGGTAAAAGGCCTTTTATACCCATTACTCGTAGAGTAAAAGGGTATTCTAGTATGTCCGCCTGTCCGGACCATTCATTAAAATGTTATAAGAGAACAATATAGTTATAGTTAGTATAGCCTTGCAGCCTAAGCCTTAAAATTATGTAACAGGTAGAAGAACAAGTGTCCGACTCTATAAAGCGTCTGAATATTCTTGATAGAGATTTCTAGCCCAGTCGATCTAGCCATGTCCCTCCGCTGTCCATGTGAACGCTGTAATCTTGGAAACTATATGGGCTTATGCCCACATTTGTAAAGATATATTTTCAGAGTTATTTTACACTACATTTTCAATATCTTTTAAAACTGAAAGACTACTTCGCACAATATCGAACGTACAGCGGACGGATGGACAGTCAGACAGACTAGACGGACGTCTAGTGATGCTGATCAAAAATATATACACTTTATATGGTCGGAAACGTCTGCTTCACTGCGTTACAAACTTCTGACTGAAATTATAAAACTCTCTTTAGGGGTATTCCTGAAGTGGCTGTACCTTGAGGTAAAAACTTGAATTGCTCAAACCTTTTTAATAAATGGTCCGATTTGATAAATGTTCGCCATGTAGATGGCTTTTGACAATGAAACAAAAACCCATTTACACTTTAACAAAATCTTTTAAAATGTGGGCGCCACACAGGTTTTAGTATTATGGGCTTTTAAGTGGACGGTGCACTTAGCTAAATCAAGCTTGCGTGCTGAGGAATGACCCAAGAACCAAGAAGGATGATGATAGTTTCTGGTAGAGTTGCCCCCTATATCAGAAAAAAGGCAACAAAATTTTAAATGGGTAAGTTTTTTTTATAGGGATTTTGGTATCCACGTGTTGCCCTTAACAAATTTAGGTGATATATGTTTATGTTTACAACTATAATGCCACCCTTTAATTTTGCAAAAAAAAAATTAAAAGGCTACATTGAGTATACTGTGAGCAACAACTCAGCAAACTTTAAAAATGTGTAATTTTTTATCAATTTAGTGGCTGTAGGGCGTCTGTTGATATCTTAGAATCTCCAAAAAATTCGACCTTTAATCGAGACGTGCACCACTATAAAGTTACCTTTCATACGAACCAAGCAAGCCATATTTGGACAAAATCCATGGTAAAATAAGTTACATATTATTTGTCATTGCTATGCATTGTAAGGCCTATGCATTCAAAGTTGGCTCAGTTGCAGCTCACAAAATTAAAGGATGACATTATAGTTTCAAACTAAAACATAAATTACCTGAGTGTGTTAGGCGCAACTCGATATATAATAAAAAACACGGAAGTACCAAAAACATTTTCTTATTTAAATCCTTAACCAAACTTATCTATTTAAGATTTTGTAGTCTTCTTTTTTGTGATCTAGGGGTCTAACTCTACCAGGAACTACCATCCTCCCTCTTGCAGAATTTTGGCTTTAAACTCGTGCTATTAAATATCTACTATTTATCTAAAGGGAACGTAAGGGAAATATGCATATAGACAAGCAGCAAATCGACTGTTTCCAAGGATGCACACGAGCTTTTTTGTCAAATTCCCATTTAAGGGGGATTCCCGTCCAGCAACCTAAACGACGGACCTTTTTAAATATTTATACCTTTGCAGAGGGTATAATGAATTCAGTCAGAAGCTTGCAACGCAGTAAAGGAGACGTTTCCGTCCCCATAAAGTATATGTATTCTTGATCAGCATCACTAGTCGCGTCGGTCTAGCCATGTCCGTCTGCCCGTTCGTCTATCCGTCCGTCTGTCCGTGTGTCCGTCCGTCCGTTTATACGCAAACTAGTCTCTCAGTTTTAGACCTATCTGGATGAAGCTATAGGAGGAAGCTATAGGTAGTAAATTGAAGTGGAACATTATCTTACAATTTCTGTAATTAGTTTTTTATTAAATAAAAATAGGAAAGCTCTGTACATGCAATGCTTCCACGGGAACGACTTGCAGGGGTATAGAAACTTCGGCTTGCCGAAGTTAGCTTTCTTTCTTGTTTTTACAAGTTTTTTTTAAATATTCTTGATACCATAATTCTTATTCACATTTAAACTAATGTTCACCATATACAAATAGAACAAAATGACGGCCTAGCTCTATATGAAAAAAGCTACTACAACCCAGACAATTAACCTAGCTCAAAAATCTAAAAAGATTTTGAAACTAGATTAAATTTCGGGGACTCCGAGTTTTTGACCCAGCCCTTTTGACGTGGTTTCCAGAAAAGCGCATTTAGAATTATTACGGCACCTAGGGATAACAAACTTGAATGTCAAAAGCTTACATACAGGGACTTAAAGTTTCAAAGGTCACAGCGTTCACACGGACAGACAGTCGGACATGCCTAGATTGACTAATCAAGAATATAAGGTCCATTCCACGGACTCGCTCGGGAAGCTTGCACACATTTAAGCGGTAAATATTTCGAAACAAAAAAATTTTAATTATGATAAGGGTCTCTACTTCTCCCTTTTCCTTATTTCCCTATTTTGTAATAAGCATTATTTGTCGAATTTTTCGTTTCTGTCTGTAGACAAAAATATAAATGATTTTTGCGGACATCTATTCAACCACTTTTCTGAGGTAAAGAACAATAATAAATAAATAACAAGAAAAAACCGCAATAGTGCCCCGACTATCGTATACCCGTTACTCAGCTTCCAAATTCAACTTATAAGCTAATGGTCAAATTAAATCAACTTTTGGCACTTCGACGCATATTGCCAAATAAAAATAAATCAAAAACTTCAGTTGTGGGTGCTAGAGTTAATATGTCACTTGGCTGAAGAAAATATGGGCTTCATAGGCGCTGGTAGAATCTGAATGTCATATTTTAACTGTCTAGCTTCAAAATTATGAGCGCTATGCAAAACTTTGCGTTATGGGTGTGGGAGTGGCACTCGGGTGAAACAAAAATGGGCTTTAACTCTCTACCTATGGGGTAAATTACGCGTCAGAGTAACTGTTTACGAAAATTTAATAGATCGTAACTTTTTGGTAAATGGTCCGATCATATCAGTTGTTGGCATGTAGATGGACAGAACAAAAAGACTAGATCGACTCGACATTTGCCGATCAAGAATATATACTTTATGGTGTTGGTAACGCTGTCGTCAACCTGTTAAATACTTTTCCAAGGAGTACATTATAACCTATAACTCTATGAGTATCTGGAATGAAAATGTTATAAAAAATAGTAGGAGCCATCAAAAACTAAAATATCTTATAAGTTCCTGTTAAATTCGTTAATTTGGTACACTGCACAGCTGTTTAAATGAAAATAAAAATAAATCTTCTGTTTAGAATAAAAATGTTTTTATCGGTCATCGTGCCGAACAAGAAAAATTATAGTTCAGTAGGTACATCCTAGGTTGAATTTATCGTGGCTCTTAAAATCTTTTTCAGAAACCATTTAATAAAATACAATTTTTTTTAATTTATCTGAATATTAAAATGGATTTCTAATTTAAATAAAACTACATTATTACGTATACGCATAAATTAATTGGAGTAGTCAAATGCTCAAGCGAGGAAGGTAGTCAGGCACAAGAGTTCATTCCATTATTGAATGTATACATTCCATTAAAATTAACTAAGTTGAAATGTAGAAGAAGATACTTTTGTCCTTGCTCTGTCCATTATTAATTTCGTTGCTGTTAGTTTTTTTGTATCTTTACGGATTTTTAAGCTGCCTGCTGGCAGCAGTTCTCAGTATTCCGCTACCCATTCTGAACATAACAGACGAATTTAAAATCGGATTTTCAAAAACTGTAATAGTTTGTTTTAATTTTAAACATATACTGATAGTACCTCAACTATACCAAAATACTATTTATATACATATATATATTTTTATTACATATTACTTTTCTCGCAATGGAAAACTGAATAAAATTAAAAATGGTTTTGTACTTTGTTTTCAAAGATTCGGTAAAGTGCACATATTAAATAATTTTAAAAATGTTGAACTTAAGAAATATTTGAGGAAACCGAATGCAAACCAGATCGTTTCTATTATATTTTTCATGAACGTATAAGGGGAAAAGAAAAAAGTGGATGGATTTTTAACTCAAATATTCAAAAGTCTAAGTTGTCTTGAAATTTTTAAAATTTTAAATGCTATGAAACCTTTATATTGAGTTTAAGGAGTCTTTAAATAAATTTTTTCGAAATATATCAATGCGATTATTTAGGTCTTATATTAAGCATTCCGAGCAGTATGAGTCCGACTGCAGTATCTATCTGTTGTTTTTGGACCTTGCTCTTGACACTCTCACTAAAAGGTTATGGCACAACAACAAAAACACTAAGGCGAATCCCGTTACGTAGCGTTTTTTCCGTTTTTTCCCGATTTGTTCCGTTTTGATTCGCTAGGTTCCACGTTCACTCGCGTTTTTATACTCGCTGACATTAATCTCGATCTTTTCGTAATCGTTTCCGTTCTCGTTCCTTTATCGCTGTCGAAAATGTTCCGATTGGTACATTTATCTGGTTCTCTTTCTCTATATTTTTGCTTTTTTTTTAATTTTTTGATATGGATTGGCCTGTGTTGTTGTGTGTATATTGTCTTGATGCCGCCGACGTTGACGTTAAACTGATTCTGAATCAGTGCTTGAAGCGTTTTAGTCCAAACCGTGCTCACTATTTTTATACCCTTACAAAGAGTATTATAATTCTGCAACGACACTTTTTAATATATATTTATTCTCGTTCAGCGTCTCTTGACAAGTTGATATAGCCATATCCGTCGTAAATCGTATTTCTATAGCAGAAAGTATTAAAGTCGAAACGAGGCGGATAGAAGAACTATATCCTGTTGGTCGAAAAACTAACAGAAAAAAATTATAGCATCGCTTTTTGCTGATCTCCTTTAATATTCTAAGTTTTATATAATTTTAAATCAAAGTTTATAAAAATAAATTTTTTTAAATAACCATGTATAAAAAACTTAAAAAAATTAAGGACAAAACAGTAAGAAAATCGCCATAATTTGTTGTTTTTCAAATAAAAGCATATCGAAATGTAACATTTATTTTATATTTTACAATTACATTTTTAATTTTACAAATTTAGCTAACAGACCAAAAATAACATTTCGATTTAAAATATTTCATTGAAATACATTGAGCAAACCAATCCCATTGATCTCTGGTCATTTATATATATATTTTTTTTAAATTTTAATAATACGGTTTAAAAGCATGATGTTCTTTAATCTGCAAGAGTATATAAACTTTGGCTTGCCTAGGCTAGCTTTCTTTCTTATTTTATTTTTTTTGCCGAGCTTGATTTGGCTCTGGATTCGAGCATGTGTGTCTATATATGTAGGTACTATGTGTACCACTATAATACAGTTTAACTGACTATAGACTAATGCCAGCAGTTATTCAAAGGCGAATTGCTGTCTGGTATGCGTGTCTGTATTTTATTTTTTCAGAGATCGTATTTGCTGGTTGTGGGGTGCATTGTTTGTCAGTGTTTCATTTATTCAGTTTCCCGTTTTTTATTTTCATTTGGTCGGGCATTGGCGATCGGCAAAGGTCAAGTCATGGTAGAGCGATCAACTAATTAGAGTTAAGCACAGACTCGTGCCATTACTTCGGGGTTTGGTCCATAAATTTCCCATCCAGATTTTTCTGGTCCTACACCGAAAAAAAGGAATGATCATTTACAAGGTTGAAATCAAAAGAGAACCATACTTGAAATATTTTAGAACCTGTACCACAAACGTAAGTACAATACGTTAATGAATGTATCTAAGTCACAAACTTTTTGCATAAGTATGTAAATCAGGCTAGTACCGTAACTAAAATCGAAGAATCTCTTTCTATTTTTGGTGGCATATAGCAATATAGTCATCTTTTGAAATCATTTGTTCTGTTTAATCCTTCTACATACCCATAGAAAGCTGGCTCAACGCCATACCCATCGTACTCAGAATGTCATAAGAAGGGTTCTTTAAAAAATTTACATCTTCGGTATTTGCTTGAAATATATTTCCAGTTTACGTGACTTGTGGACAACTGTTTTTGTTTGCCATGGTACCGAGATTTTTCTGAGATCCGCAAAAATAAGCCGCCAAACACAAATACATAAGTACATAGATTGGATTGATGGTGCTATAGTGCGGGCGGGGGCATCGTCATCTATCTAAACAGTCACTAATTGGACAAGAGCGTTTTTAATTAAACGTCCGTCTATTAAAATAGGCAGATCAGACGATTACCAAAGCACTAAATATGATGATCTGACACAGTGAAGACAGTACCATTCAGAACTACAAGTTTAGAACTATTTTCTATATTTTTTAATATTTTATCTACTTATTAGGAATCCGTCCAGGAGAAGGCAAATAATAAGGAAAAGTGCATTTTGTTTTTGGTTGTGTATCCTGTCTTGATAATTAAACGACGTTCCTATTTAAAGGAAAATATTTCTAATACGAATAGTTAAAAAATCAGCAAGGAATAGAATCTCACTAAAATTTAGAAAATTGTTTTTATTTTAAGATATTTACAAATCGAGTGGAGCAAGAGTCAAGCACATAGAAATTAAGCACGTTTTTCACGAGTTTTTGTTTTTACCTTTTAAATAGGCCAGCACGATGGAAAAACGTAAAAACAAAACTAAGCCAAATTAATTCGTTATTAAATTTTCTTTTTGGTGACCCTAGCACTTGGTCAAAACATCTGTTACTCGTAGAGTAAAGGGGTATATTATTTATTTTATTTATTTATTTATTCTCAGGTTAAAAGGCAATTGAGAAATTACCTATAACCTATGTTTTTTTATTGCAGCTATAAAAGGGGTATATTAGAATCGTCGAAAAGTATGCAACAGGTTGAAGGATATGAACTGTAAAATGCTTAGATAATAGCTGCAAGCTGGATGGGTACAGATGGCACAACAAGGTAAAGCAGCAGAAGAGTGTAAGTGCTAAAGGATTTCCACTGGAGAAGCCAATTGGGAAGGATCATTCCGAGTGGGACTTAGCTCTATAATATAGAGTCTATATGGACTTCTAACCGGACGTATTTTTGAACGGTTCTGGCTAAAGTATATATAAATATACAAATAGTAGATATCTTCTTAGCACACTCCACCACCACCAGCTAATTGGCAGCTGATGGGTACCTGAAGGCCGCGCTGATGAATGAGGTATCCAAGGAATTATATTCCTACGTATGCAAGTTGCTCCATTGATGATAAATTTTTTCTTATTAGTATGATTATATGTGGGCTTTCCTAGGGAGGAGGAGAAGCTTAAGCTGAAGGAGGCATCACCAGTCATGGTCATGGATGTTAAGCGACTTCCTGCAGAACAACCCAGTCCCCAACCCGACTCCTTCTCCCCCAAGGCCCATGTTAGGCATATTGGGAATCGAAGCTGATGAGCTTGCGTCCGGAAGATGGTGTCAAAGTGGAGAAGAAGATGACGAGGCTCCTGTGGGATGAGAAGAAAGCTTTAAACTACTAATTTACATAAGTAAAAACATCGAATTATTTTAAATTAAGAAACCGTCTGCTGGTTTGACGTTTTAAAATGCTCCACTTCATTTGTTTCCTGTTTGTCAATAAATCCAGCTGATTGACAGAAAAATTATGCAACATTCATTGTATATATGTGGAATTTTTGTATTGTTAAATTTGTTTGATAGAGTAACGCACTGCTTACCTGGTAAATTTCATTTCAAATGTAAAAAGAAGCCTGAAGGCCGTTTTCGAAAATTTGTTAAAACTCAGTCTTGACATATGTGGGCTTGATAAACAATAAAAAACACTTTAAGGGACGTATGCAATTAAGCGTGTATTCACAATAATTTAATAATAATAATAAAAAATAAAAATAATAAATCTAAAATGTATTGCTTTAATTTGCATCATTTTTAAAATTTATTTAAATAGAATAACACTTTATGTTATTATTATTATATATGTGAATTGAATTTTAATGTTGTTTCTTATAATGGTACTTAGTTTCAGGCTAGATAATATTTGTTATCGTAATTGGCATGGTACAACTATACAAGGTATTCCCAACGCAATTTAATCCGTTAACGATACTCGCAATATCGCTGAAGCACGTTAACGGACTGAAAGCCGAACGATTAGCAGATGACGGGACTACCTTGTATAATTGTACCTTGGTAATGGGTGGGTTCTCGCTGGTCAGTCTGGCTGTTTTTAAGTGTTGGGCAAGACTCTGTTCATTTTTGAGTAAGTTTGTTAAATACCCTCTGCACACAGGCGCTTAAAATCGATGTTGCAATTTTAAGCAGATTTTTGTTCACATAGATAATCGCTGTAGCGAAGAGCTGATCGGCATAAGCAAACCGTACCCGAAAGGAGAAAACGCGCAAATTCAATTGCTCCGAAAAAATACAAAACAACGCAGAACTAAATACAATTTGAACCCAAACATGTGGAATGTTTTCAGCGCCAAGTGATTATTTTATTGCTATTAGCAAATTTATCAAGGATGAGATTTTTATTCAGGCAAGCGTTGTGAAAATTTAAGAGGGACTTTTTAGGTCAACAGTGACGCCATTAGAATTTTTACAAGTTAGAACCGTTTGGACCCTTAAGTATTGATAACACTTTCTTGCATACGGTTCTTTGACTATATATGTACATTTTTAAGAAACAATTTTGGCAGGTCGATGCTTCTTCTAATTGTTTTTTCTTATATAAATAATGTACGTATTGATGCAAAAGGTGCCAGGTCAAGAAGAACATAAGCTGAAGGTTGGTTATTTCCTTAAAAAGAACTTAGCAAATTTATTTTCAAGATGAGATCGATTGCTGAGTTCCGAACCGATCGAAGGCTCCTTGCGCCTGCACCAACAACAATTTCCTTAAAACGGCGCCAATGCAGTTCAAATGCATTTCCTTCTCAAAAAAATCCCGAAACGCCAAGTACAAAAATCAGCCAAGCTCGTAAACAAAATACTAAATAAAACTCTGAAATACTGAATGGTTTTGCGAGTGCGGTCCCATTACCCGCTGCAGCGAGTTGTAGCGACTTTTTCCCTTGGATAAAAAAACTAGCTATATTAATTACTAAAAAAATAGAAAGAAAAAAATGGTACCTATTCGAAGTACTCATAATCATAAAGAAAGCGTTTTTAAATTGTTTACGGTATCTTAAACAATTAATTTGTATTTTGTATTACTTTTTTGCAGCTTTTTAATACCTATATAATTTAATTTTAGTTTATTTTTGACCTGACCGCCAAACTTGAATACACCATCTTTTGAACGGATGATTGGATAGTGGAAAGAGGTTACAAAGGACGCTTTGAAAATCATCGCATAAAAAATAGTAGGCGATAAGTATCGCAAAAAATTGTGGGTGAAGTCGTTGAACTATCTGGTAACACTGTAGCCGCAGAAGCATAACATAATAATTTTTGGTTGTTATCTATTAAACACCGCTGAGCATGGCTTACGACCTGAAGAAGGAGTCTGACGTAAAGGAGTACGTGGACAAGTTGGGAGTGGAATACCGCTTCGGTTGTTATTCCGAGAAGAAGCCGGAAGGTGGGTGCGCATTCGGCGGCGACGCCGGCAGCGGCAAAAACGACTGTGGTCTATAACCTCTGTTGAGCGGGAAGGGAATGGAATATTACAAAACAAATAACGAGGAATCAAAATATATAGCTAACTACCGATTTGCATTGCAGCCTGCCACCTGCTTGGCGATTACCTGGAGGGCATCAAAAAGGACTTCGAGAAGGCCTCCAAGGTGTATAAATCGACATGCGACGACTACGGTTACGCAAAGTCCTGCTACAAGTATGGAAACTACTGCTTCCTAGGCAAGGGAAAAAGTGGAAGCAAAGGGGATCCCCGGGTGGCCTACGAGTACTACGAGAAGGGCTGCAACCTGAACGACTCGGACGCCTGCCTTCACTCCGGGCTGCTGCTCGTCTCGAGGTCCATGCCTAAGGAGATCGACAGGAATGTACCCAAGGTAAAGGCGGCAGGATGGTGGTCGCGGTCTTAAACCGCCATTAAAATAGAGTGATCTCTTGGGACAGGCGATTATGTTTATAAACCAATATTACCGTACTCATCACAATGACCGGAAGACCTCGTTTGTTTTACCGGCACACAATTTATTCTTGCATACTAATGTTTTTAATGTCTTAACATTTGTGTTACGGACCTTTTATATTTACTTCTTACCTTTTAATGGTACCAAAACTGTTCATGTAGATAATCAACTGTGTTAAAAATAATTAAATTCGAGGCAACGTTAACCAACGGCGGAAATACATACAACATTGTCGTTCTCACTCGTATTGCAGTCATAAACAATATTGAACTGGAACGAAAAGTAACTTCATACAAACATTACTTATCTAAGTAGTATTCTTCTCTTCAGTCTATAAATGAATTAGATTTTAAAATTTAGAGTTCAAATAAACCCAAGGAGAAACTTTGGTCAAAATGTAACTACTAACTACCATCAGCGTTAAACAATCTACATTTTGGTCATTTACGTGCTAACAAAATGGATTGTAATAATTGCAAGCTCAAATTTCTTGAGATTTATTTGCCATTTGACTTTTTATATGAAAACAATTTCTCCCTAAATAAAAAGACGAATGGAAGTTCATCTTGCCATTATTTCGACAGTGTAGATATACTGCAAAATATTAATTATTTAATATTCCACAGGGCTTGGAATTCCTAACCAAGAGCTGCGACATGAACAACGCTACCGCCTGCTTTTATCTATCCGGTATGCATATCTCGGGAGTGCAAAAGAAGCCGGACCAGAGCGCGGCGACTGTCTCGGCCGGAAATGAGTCAGCTCCGCCCGCCGGAAAGACACCATTAAAGGACTCTGACTACATTGTGCTAAAGGACATGAAGAAGGCTTTCCAGTTTGCTCATAAGGCGTGTGAGCTTCGCAATATGTATGCTTGCGCCAATCTCAGCCAGATGTACGCCCGTGGCGATGGAATTGAGAAAAATGAAAAGGAGGCGGAGAAGTACAAGAAGCTGGCTCTGGAGATGCAGGACGAGGTAAAGAAGCAGCAGGAGACGCTAGGCTTCCAACAGGGCGTGGGAATGCCCAATTGATTTATATTCTGTTTGATTCGTGCTACCATATACTGCTGCTTCTCACCTTCGCTTAGTCCAATGTTCATATTTTGTATTCACGTGTATCTTTGTCAGGTTTCCATTTACCCCTTTTCGGTCGGTCTAACATTAGTGGTTAAGCTAACTAACTTTTGTTTGTGATTTCTGTGTACATAGCCGACATTTACATGCGGCGGAGTGAGAGAGAGAAGGCGTAACGAAAAGAAATTTCTAGTTTTAATTGTTAAAGTTATCAAGTAACAAGTAAAAACCCCTTAAAGCATTGGCCGTGTTCAGCAGAACAACGTGATCACCGATTAATGTTGGATCACTTTTATGTGATCAAGTTTATTGTGCTCAACGCTCATGGAACGTTACGACGTCAAAGAAAGTACAATTGTACTTTAAAAAATGCACCAGACAATTGTAAATGCTTTTAAATTTGTCATGCCTAAGTTTTTGAGTCACTTAAGCGTAACAATTTTTGCATCATGATTAATTATCATGTGCGTTGTTTTGCTGAACGCGGCCATTTTGTTGATACCTTATATACAAAATACAAACCAGCCCGACCATAGTACGGTGTCAAAAATATAATTATATGTGTTTTAATTTATACATCACTTAGTATAATATCCGCAGAGGCATACGTGCGTACAGTGCCTTTCGGGCTTAAAATTCAAAGTTAATCAATATGACTTACAATTCCATACTTATTTAATTGCACATCTTTTAAGTGTATGTATAATTAAAGATCCAATTAATTTTATTTTTGTTTTGGATAAACGTCTAAAACGCTTTAGCCCCCGATCATAAGTACTAATTACGAAATGATAGTAAAAAATTGGCGACAATAACGATTTCTTAAAACAAAATGCAGTTGATTATTTTCCTTATATCTTCATTGAGCGCCCAATTAATTCGACCAGGCTGGCATCACTGATTTCGATATTTTCCAAAAATCATCGAATAGTTCCAATAGTGCCCGCGTGGGAAAAGCCATAATTGAAAAGACTTGAATTTCTCGAAAACTGTGCCTGTAATTAATTCAGAAATAAGCTAAAATTATGACCCTTCGAATGCGATACCGTGAAAGTTGGCACAACCTCTTTGAGAGTTAAATGAATTAGTTAAAGTTTGCATAGAAAATATTTATATTTTGATGGTTGATGTCATAGGTGGTTGGCGTGGACAGTGGGAAACGACAAATTTAAAAATTGTATGTGTTCAAAACCCCCACTGTAAATCAATTTTTTCAAAAACTGTGGATTTCATTTTTATGAAATTTTCAGTAAAAGTGCTTAAGACGATCCCCAATCTACCCATATACCGTGCATGTTGGCACAACCTCTAGGAGTGGAGCCGTAGTTAATTTAATTTTTACCCCCTTTTTGGTTTGGGGAAATAAGAGGTTGCTTCACTGTTAGGTGATTTTTTCGAAAACTGTGGATTTAAATTTGATTAAACTTTCAGACAAAAAGCTTGAATTGACGCTTAATAGCCTGGATTAGCGTGTATATTGGCACAACCTCTGTGAGGGAAGCAGTTAACGAAATTATGGGGACACGATTTTTCAAATGCATTTTTGAAACATTAATTGGCCTCGGATGTGTCTCCCTACCTAGACCGATAGATATTTTCTTTCTAAACAATTTAGCATTTTAGATGTAAAAATAAAAAGAGCCCCCATGTTCCAAATTCCGCCATTCCAGTTTCGTCGCTAACAGGCCGACGCTAATTTGACGGACATACACCAAGTGGCATTCTATTAGTGCTGTAGTGCAGCCACACTGGCGGACGTATATAATCTAAATTTTGCATTTCCTTGTTTTTTTTGTTTTTCCGTGTCTCTTCTGAAAACCGATGTGCCGACAGGACATCTAGAACTCGGGGACCCACAATGAGCGCGCGCAGATCAAAGAGCAGTCCAACGCTAAATTTCAAGGCGGTGCTTCTGGGCGAAGGTGCGTTCCGAAGGTGCGTTCTATTACGCTATGTAGAATTAAATCCCTTAATTGCAGGTTGTGTGGGCAAAACGTCGCTGGTGCTGCGCTACATGGAGGACCGGTTCAATGCTCAGCACCTAAGCACCCTGCAGGCCTCCTTTGTGACCCGCAAAGTGTCCCTGGAGGACGGAAGGAAGGCTCAGTTGAATATATGGGACACGGCTGGGCAGGAGCGATTCCATGCCCTGGGACCCATTTACTACCGAGGGTCCGATGGCGCCCTGTTAGTCTACGACATAACCGACCAGGACTCGTTCCAGAAGGTCAAGTCCTGGGTGCGGGAACTCCGGCAAATGCGCGGCACGAAGATTGCCCTGATAATCGTGGGCAACAAGACTGATTTAAGTGAACAGCGGGCGGTGGCGCACGAGGAGGCTCTCCAATATGCGCGCACGGTTGGCGCCCAGTACGTGGAAACCTCGGCCAAGGAGAACGAGGGCGTGGCCGAGCTCTTTGATCTGCTGACCCATCTAATGCTGGAGCAGCTCAGCCAACGGGAACCGGATGCGAGTCCACTGCGCCTCGAGCACGCGGGTACGGACGGCCTTCGCAGCTCCGACGATTCCGAGGTCCCGGATGCCAGCGATCCTGCGGGCCAGCGATCCTGCTGTGGCATTTAGCCGTCTCCATTGTGATAATAATCATAATTATATACTAGTACCCTGTAGCCGATGTTCATTTTGTGTATATGTATATTATATATTTACTTATAGTGCGTGTGTTTCTGTTATTAACCCAAACAGACTCCACGTATTCTTGTTGATCCTCATTGTTGTCCAAATTGCTCAGACATTTTTGTTTTGATTTTTCGGCACCTAGTTTATGTATGAAATGTAGTGTTCGCCCATTCCGACATTTGATTTTTTTCGCTCTTTGTGTGCGCCAAGCAATAAATTATTTTGTAATTGCATTTATGTATCTTGTTTTAGAGGCGGTAATTTTCCGGGAGGATGGATATATAATTGCAACCCACATTGTAATAAGTCATCAGTGATTACACTTTTACAGCATTGTAAAAAGATGTTTTCATAGTAGCGAATATTTCTGTTACACATACGTAGTATACCCGAGCGTATCAAAAATATGAATTTTATTGAGATATGTAGAATAAAATTATACATTGGGGCGGGTCGATTTGTATGGGGCCAAAAAACATGGAAGGCCGTATGTGGGGAACGTATTCTTTAATGGACTGATTGTGAACAATTTTGACGAACAAACTTAAACCTAGTTCTCACATCGACGAAAACCGCGAGCCAATCATAGGAGTGAGTGAGAGGCAAATACGCGGCTAACGCTTTTCGTCGGGTCTGTTTTTCACAGCGGTACTCAGATAAGCTAAGGAAATACAAAAAATTCAAGATTTGGCGAGTGAATTTCGATGAACGCCGTTAAGCTTAGTACTCAGATTGGCCAAGAGTTTCACTAGTCGAAAAATCGTATACTTTGTATTGTGATCGAAGTTTTCGCTCGCATTTCATGGTCTTATTGTCTAGCAGCTGGGTTTGTTGCCAAACGGAAAACAAATCAATTGAAGCAATTCAAAAAGAAGAGTCTGCTGGTGCACAAAGAAACTAAAATTCAAATAAATGGAATGTTCAACAAATGTTTTTATTTATGTTAAGTAGTAGCTTAGAGTTTCCTTCTGGTCCCACGGGTGCATCGCCATTTTTTCCGCGCCACCATAGTACAGCTCCGAGTCCCAATAGGAATATTGGACGTTGAGGAAGAAGGAGCCGGATTGGGAACGGGGTTGTTCCGCCTCATATATGAGTATTACAGCAAAAGTGAATGGAACTCCCATTTTATAATTGATTTTTAAAACAAGAAAGGAAACTAATTTCAGCAAGCCGACGTTTCTATACTCTTGCACGTCGTTCGCGTGGGCGCAGTAGGTAGGTCAAAAGCTTTCCGATTTCAATAAAAACTAAAAACTAATCTCAGAAATATTAAGATAACGGTTCATTTCAATTTACTACCATATATGTTATAGTCGTCCGATATTTTTAAATTTTTTGTTCGAAATTTGAAAATATTTAAAAAATGATGTTTCAAAGTGTGGAAATTAATATGTCAAAAAACACCAGCGTTATATTTTTATTCATTTAAAAAAAAACGTTTTTGAAATTTTATGAAATAGAAATAAGACTTTTGGAAGAAACGGTCAGAATATATATACATTACACCTTCACTGCGTTGCAAACTTCTGACTGAAATTATTATACCTCCTGCAAGGGTATAGCATAAACTTCTGATATCAAACCAAAAACACCTCTTAACAAGGTATGGGGTCGTGGCGATCACGCACCATCAACAAACCAAAGATCTGATTTCGACTTTTGTGACGAATTATGCTTGTACTTTCGACTAAATAAATACACTTTCTAAAATGTTCTCATTCGATGCGAGAAGCTTAAATATTTTATAAATCCTAATGTCTTTGATCTAGCCATGTCTGTCTGTCCGTGTGAACGCTGCGATCTCGGAAACTGTAAGAGCTAGAGGCTTGAGATTTCAGATTTAGATTCCTCATTTTCGCACGCAGCGCAAGTTTGTTACGCGAACATGGCACGCCCACTGTGACGCCAACAAACCGTCCAAAGCTATGGCTTCTACAGTTTTAGTGGTAGAACAAAATTTTAACTGAAATGTATTAGTCTCGTCAATACCTATCGATTGACCTGTATAAAAGTTTGCCACGTGCACTCTAACACCCATAAACAACCATAACGCATAAATCTGTCCACCGCCCACATAACCATGTATTGAGATCGCGGGTAGGTGGCTTATTACATCATGCTTGTACATCTCCATCTCCCTTTTGGTCCCTTCAGTTGAGTAACGGTATCTAATAGCCGAGGTCATCGACTATAGCGATTCCCCTTGTATTTGTTAAAAAGTTAAGATTTTTATATAAAGAATAATAGCCGGCGCAGATTAAACTTGATTTCAGCAGTATATAAGTAAGCAAGCCCATAAAGCCATTGCCAAGCGAAACAAGTGGTAATTACAGACCCTAATGAAGGTGGAACTATGGTCCTGGAAGTTTACCACCAGGTAAATATAAATATGTATGTATACTCGAATTCGGACAATTGCTGTAATTTGTGTTCATGGCAATGAGCCATTTATTTTGGTTCCAGCACATCCCACCGCTATCGACCCAAGGGGCAGTGCATTAGAATAATTGTAAATGATTGCTAGGCTCCATTGCAATTGGCAGGGAAAGTTCAGTGGCCAGAGAACACCTAGTACCTTTTCCACAGGTGAGTCAAACGCCAACATGCCTTAAGATTTCGCAGTTCCCACCCGCTGAGTCAGAGCCCTTTTAATTTTTTTTAGTTGCTGGCGGATACTGAAGCTTTTGGTGGATCTCCTAAGGAGATTTTTGTAGTGCTCTTCAGTTTGGTCACAGACTTCCTGAACCGCTGTCTGAAGCTCAGTCAGTCGCTGGCCATGTAAGGAGTTGGAGTACCTGTAGTTGAAATTCCAGAAGGTTGGGCTACATGTCCCGGTATCACTAATCTAGCCCAATGTTTATCCAGCCAGGTAAGAGTGTGAGTTATAAGTAGTGAGTTTCCCAAAGTTATCGTACCTGCAATCAATAATGGACGGCCTTATCGGACTCGCACCTTTCGCCATGGTAGTACGACTATTAGTACAGTGGAATTAGCTGCATACATTTTTTCAGATTTTAACAAATTCTATTATATTGTTGTTTTTAAAACTTTTTCTATATGACTTAAAAGTTGGTTTTGTAACTACTTAAAAAATGGATCTTTTAATTCACTTTTCCAAAGCCTGGGATTGTATAGATGACGGCTATTAAGCCCATTAATTATGGAATATAGGCAGACTTCACTGTACCTGTGGAATACTTGGCGGTTGTTATCTGGGCAGGTTGGGCACATGTCGATGGCTGTTCGATCAGGTCGGTTGATTTGTGGGTCGCGCGGCGCCCTGCTGCTGTTCCTCCTAATCTTGGTCGGCACCTTGGTGATCCTCCACAGGGTGGTCCAGTCGCCGCTCTTCAATCAGTACGAAATCCTGCAGGATCACTTAGAACGCCAAGAAAACCCAAAGAGCCTAGTCACCCGCACCATTCTTCTGTGGACCGATTTCTTTGGGGATCCTCGATGGAAGCTATCTTGGGACACTTTGGGACCGCAGGAGCTACGGGATGAGCTACGGTGCCCGGTCTACCAGTGCGAGATTAGCAACCAGCACGAGTTCCTGCCCGCGGTGGAGCTCTACGACGCCATTGTCTTCCATGCGGCGGAAATGTTTTCGCTTCTCCGACCAGTGCCCTTACAGAGGAGTCCCCACCAGGCCTACGTCTTCGCCGTAATGGAACCGCCCGGAGAGACCAAGCACAGACTGGACGACGAGTTCGGGTTCTACAACCTCACCATGACCTATCGCCTTGACTCCGATGTAGTCTGGCCCTACGGGCAGCTTATAGACACTGAAACGGGTGCCGTGGTGGCGCCCAGTGTGAGTCCACCTTGGAGGAAACGCCCAGTGGCTTTTAACGACTCTGTGATTTGGAATCTCTGGTCCGGAAAATCGAAAATGGCCGCTTGGTTCGTATCCCATTGTGAAACGCTGTCAAAAAGAGAGATCCTGGCCAACAGGCTTCAGGAAATATTTGACGTGGATATCTACGGAAAATGTGGAACCCTCAGGTGAGTTCAGTGAATCAAGCTGAATCCTTTTTCGGTTCTGGTAACGGTACCGGTTCTGCACTGGAATTGACTGTTTCGGTAAACGATTCCGTTTTGGTTCTGGAAGCAGAAAGTGCCGGCACAGCAAAAAAATATTCTTTAAAATTCAAAACTGAAGTCGAAACTAATAACCCTGCAGTTCCACCGTTCAACAATGGCACACAATCATCTCGCAGTGGACTGCGACGCCATAGAGCCGAACGCAAAGGCGGCAGAGCCGAAAGTAACGGCGGCAAAGTGCCTTTTTAGTGCTTAAAAAACGCTTAAAAGGTGCCTAATGTGTGCCAGTTTTTGAGCAGGGGTGAATCCGTAGGACAGCTTATGTGAAAATCAGCACCAATTTTCAAGGTGCTGATTTTACCTGAATGGCACTGCATGGTACACAAGTACATATGTATGTACTATGCATCTCAGAAGAAAGGAATAAAATGGACCGGTTCCTGATATTGAATCGATTTATTTCGGTTAACGGATCCGGTTTTATTTCCTGGTTGAGATGATAAAATTGACTGAATTTAGTGTTTTATTAAATATATTCTACAAGTTTAGGTTATTTTTTGTACTTGACATTTCGGGATTTTTTTGAGAAGGAAATGCATTTGAACTGCAATAGCGCCGTTTTAAGGAAATTGTTGTTGCTGCAGGTCCAAGGAGCCTTCGATCGGCTTGCAACTCTGCAATTGATCTCATCTTGAAAATAAAGTTGTTATGTTCTTTTTAAGGAAATAACCAACCTTCAGCTTATGCTCTTCTTGACCTGGCACCTTTTACATCAAAACGTAAATTATTTATGTAAGAAAAAACAAGTGGAAAGAGCGTCGACCTGCCAAAATATTTTCTTAAAAATTTACATATATAGTCAAAAAACCGTATGCAAGAAAGAAATACTTAAGGATCCAAACGGTTCTAACTTGTACAAAATTCTAATGGCGTTACTTATGGCCTAAAAAGTCCCTCTTACATTTTCACAACGCTTGCCTGAATGGAAATCTCGTGCTTGATAAATTTGCTAATAGCAATAAAATAAACATTTGGTGCTGAAAACATTTAACATGCTAGCGCTCAAATCGTATTTAGTTTAGCGTTGTTTTTCATATTTTTTCGAAGCAACTGAATTAGAATACGGTTTTCTTATGCCGATCAGCTGTTCGCTTCAGCGATTCTCTATGTGAACAGGAATCCGCTTAAAGTTGCAACAGCGATTTTGAAACGGCTGTGTGCAGAGGGCAATAAACTAATAAGATATAATAATAATATAATAAGAGCGGAATAAATAGTTATACCCGTTACTCGTTACTAGATTTGTCGGAAAGTATGTACCAGGTAGAAGGAAGCTTTTCCGACGCCATAAAGTATATATGTACATATATTCTTGATCAGGATCGCTAGCCGAGTCGATCTAGACATGTCCGTCTGTCCGTATGAACGCTGTGATCTCGGAAACTATAAAAGCTACAATACTGGGATTAGGCATGCAGATTCCTGAGATTCTTACGAAGCGCAAGCCCACAATTTCCATGATACAAAATTTTAATTAAAATTTATTAGTCTCTTCAACACCTATCGATTGACCCAAAAAAAATTTGGCAATCTGTCTGCCGCCCACATAACCATATATTGAGATCGCGGGTGGGTGGCGCATTTGTTGCTTGCATATCTTTATCTCCCTTTGGTCCCTTTAGCTGAGTAACGGGTATCTGATAGTCGAGGTACTCGACTATGTTTTACTTATAGATATAGCCATCCTACCTTTTTGGAATAATGTGTGGGCATTCTTATAACTATTAATGCAATCGATTTTTTCATCCGGTAAAGGTGTATTCTTAATTAATTCCTCATGTAAATAGGTGGCTCTAGTGACAACAAACAACAAACTCAGTATTTGTGTTTTATTTTGAGTATTAAACAAATATAAATGAGGTATAAACTTCCTTAAAATGGTAAGAAGTACTACCTTGTAACACAAAGATACTCTTGTAATTTAAATTTAAAATGCAATTGAACCGACTCAAGACTATGAGCTCTGGTCCTAAATACCTTAAAACTAATATTTAATTATATTAATATTAATTATTAATATATTGATTAAATTTTAGATGCGCCCGAGGTGATCCGCACTGCGACGAGATGTTGGACACGGACTATTTGTTCTACCTGGCATTTGAGAACTCGCTGTGCGACGACTACGTGACGGAGAAGCTCTTCGACGCTTTGCACCGGAACATAATACCAGTGGTTTTCGGTGGAGCGGACTACTCACGGATCCTTCCCCCGCACTCGTACATCGATGCCAATCGCTTCGAGACCGTGGAGGACTTGGCTCAGCACCTGAGCTTCGTGGGCGGGGATCCGGATGAGTATGTCAGTTACTTCTGGTGGCGCAGTTACTATCGCTTGGTGTCCACTTCTCCGTTTTGCGATTTGTGCGCCCTGCTCCATGTTCCCGGTTTTAGCCACAAGACACAGTTTTACGGCGACATCCAGTCCTGGTGGTTCAACAGTTGCCGCCTGGAGAGCCAAATACGTTGGTGAGCCCTGCTTGGAATATAGAAAGAAAGTTACAATTATAAACATACGTCAATCACGAAAGAGAGCGAGATGCTACTGTCGGACATTTCCCCACCAACAGTTATTTTGGGTTCAAAACAACATTAGTCTATTTGTTAACATTTCCCAAAACTTTGTGTTAAGTACACTCCCTGGGAGATAAGATATTCAGGTTTCCGATTTGCCCACTAATGGGGTATGACTCACCTGCTAACCAATTTCAATTGCCATTACCATCGATTGACAGTGTATAGAAGCAGAAAACAGTAGATTTTACAAGAACATATACGATATAAAACCTTTTTTTAACTGTCGTTTATCCAATTAAAAAAGGAACGCTTAGGTCCAGTGCCTTGACCATAAGATACTTGCTACTATGTTCACATAATAAAATAAATATACATTATAATAATAATAATAATTAATGTAAATTAATAATTAATAATTATAATAAATAAATTGAAATTAGAAGAAGTACAAGAGACGACAGTTTTGATTTGAAATAACAATAAATAACACCACACCCAGAAAAAAAGCGTTCGCAACGTTCATAAATCAAGCCTTTTACCACCGTGCGTAAGCCCGTTGTTGACAATTTATGAAAGCCCTTTTTCTTAACATTTAACCGAAACTTAGGGTTGGCTTCCGAATAAATGAGGTCATTTTAAGAAAATTTCCTTATAAATTGGAGAACATGAAAATATAAACAAAACAAGGAAGAACGCTATAGTCGAGTACCGCGACTATCAGATACCCGTTACTCAGCTAAAGGGACCAAAGGGAAATGGAGATATGCAAGCAGCAAAGCGAGATTAAAATGCGCCACCTACCGGCGGTAGACAGATTTAGGCGTTATGGGCGTGGCAAATTTTTTTTGACGAGACCAATACATTTCAGTTAAAATTTTTTATCTAGAATGCAAATTGTGGGCGTCACAGGATTGGGCGGTTTGTGGGCGTGGCAAACATTTTATTAGGTCAATCGATAGGTCTTGATGAGAACAAAACTAAAATTTTTATTCTAGCATCAAAACTGTAGGAGCCACAGTTGTGGGCGGTTTGTGGGCGTTAGAGTGGGCGTGGCACATTGCTGAAACAAACTTGCGCTGCGTAAAAAGCTCAGGAATCTGCACGCCACGTCTCAATAGCCTAGCTCTTATAAATATTTTCCGAGATCTCAGCGTTCATACGGACGGACATACAGACGGACAGACGGACATAGCTAGGTACGAACAATCAAGACTTTATACCTACATATGTACATGTTTTCGTGAACGGTGTTGATAACACTAGCTTACAAAAAAATATTTTTAAACTGCCCCAAGAAGGATGATGGTAGTTCCTGGTAGAATTGGACACCTAGATCACAAAAAAGAAGTCAAAAATATTTTATATGGATACATTTTGTAAAAAGATTTTTTTAAGAATTTTTTTATCTCCGTGTTTTTAGTTATATCTCGAGTTAGGCTTAACCAATTTAGGTGATATATGTTTTAATTTTGCCGAATAAATGTTAATGCTACATTTGTATGTTTAAGGTGCGATTAACACGACCCCTTGCCGCGTTAAGAGGTGTCTTTATTTGATATGAGAAGTTTTTGTTGTGAAAATCAATCATATTATTGGTCTTCTTGAGACCAACATCCAGTTCTGGTGGTTCAATAGTTGCCGCCTGGAGAGCCAGACACGTTGGTGAGTCGGGCGTGGAACAGAGCAAGATAGTTGCATACACGTCAATCACGAAAGAGAGCGAGATGCTACTATCGGACATTTCCCCACCAACAGATATTTTGGGTCCAAACCAAAATTAGTCTATTCGTTAACATTTTCTAAAAATTTGTGTTAAGTACACCCCCTGGGAGATAAGATATACAGGTTTCCGATTTGCCCACTAATGGGGTATGACTCACCAATTTCAATTGCGATTACCATCGGTTGACAGTGGATAGGAGAAGATAACAGTTGATTTTACTAGAACACATACGCAATTAAAAAAGGAACGCTTTGGTCGAGTGGCTCGACCATAAGATACCCGCTACTCTGTTAACATATTAAAATAAGTATACATAATAACAATAATAATAATAATAATTAATATAAATATACAAGCCGCGAGCTAACCATAGAAGTGAGCGAGAGGCAAATAGACGGATTACGCTTTTCGTCGGGTCTGTGTTTCAGCGCGGTGCTCAGATGAGCTAAGGAAATAGAACAAATACCATATAAATAAATTTCGACGAACGCCGTTAGCCGCCGCGAAAATTATAAAAATATTAAACTTTTGATGTGTTCGTGCAGAAGCGGTGCTGCCCAAGTTGCCCATTACTATGGGACTTAACCCACTGGAAGTAATACCACAACAGGGCATATCCATAGAAGAACGGAAGTGCAGGAGATAATCCAATCGAGAAGCCCAGTGGGAAGGAGCTTGATGAGTGGGACTTCGCCCCCAACATGGACAGCCTGCCGGACGGGTCCCCGCAATGAAAGCAAGTTCTGGTCAAAAGAGTTTGATTCCGTTGTACTTATAAAAGTATCTTCTTTGCAGAACCACCAGAAATACGATCTCCGACGAGCTCTCCATTGGAGCATCGCAGGACTCCACCAGCTAAACTAAATATTTTTCTTCTTTGTTCAATTTAATTCTCTGAAAGAGTTGTAATAAGTTCAAGAAAGTTAGCGTCGAATGATTGTCATGGCTAAGCTATATACGTTGTGGTTCATGTCCTAGGGTTCAATGGTTCAGTTTCTGGATTAAACGGCTTTTCATTAATCTTTTGAACACTCCCACTGTAAAGCAATTTTCTCAAAAACAGTGGGTCTGATTTTGGGAACATTTTCACAAAACACTCCTTAGATGACCCCCAATATGCCCATATACCGCATGTTAGCACATTCTACCTGCAAAAGAAAGAAGACTTTTGGGAAAGTTTCAACCCGATAGCTTTAAAACTGAGAGACTAGTTTGCGTAGAAACGGACTGACAGACAGACAGACGGGCACGGCTAGATCGACTCGTCTAGTGAAGCTGATCAAGAATATATATACTTTATGGGGTCGGAAACGTCTCCTTCACTGCGTTGCAAACTTCTGACTGAAATCATAATACCCTCTGCAAGGGTATAATACAATTTTTGAGTACAGGTTTTATGGGATTTCTTCAAAAGCTGGACATTTGATTTTTATAACACCCTTAGCACTTGTAAGCATTCGTGATTCCCCAACTTTTTACTTATTACAAATTATCAAAAAATTCGCGATTAGAAGTGATTAAGAGCCAAAAACTAGAACATTACTCTTCAGGTTTATTCGAATGCGCCAAAAACTACGAAAATCCAATTTGTTGAAGATAATAACTTTTTTAGTACAAGACAATTTTCAATTGAAATAACAATCACTGTGGACGGCAGCCCACGTAGTGACGAAGCGCACCAGGAGAGTAGGCGAAGGCGACTACAACATATACACTAAGAAATGAAAATCTACAGTAACCGTCCAATTGTTACGAGTGATACATCAATCGAAAGGTATTGAAAAAATTAAAGGATTGCATAACAAAACTTTAAGAAAAACAATTAGTTTGGGAGAAGAAGCGGTAAAAGTGTAAAAGTGAAAATTTTGAAAATTTGATCTGTTGGGGCCGGTGGGGATAAATACACCTAGTTATTAATCTAATTGTATTCTCACTTAAAATACGAGTTGAATGACACCTCAAATGTCATTATGTAATTATGTTTGTCAGTTTGTCCCAAAATGATGTTTTAGGATTCCGGAAATTTTATATGATCATAAAAAGCTCAATATAAAAAAAACATGACAACATGGGAAACTTTTTTTTTGTTCCGATTTTTTAAAGCTTTTTTTGTGATTGCTCAAAACGGCTCTAAAGATTTCAAATTAAATTACATACTGAACCCTCCTCGAGGTTGCCGACTGCAAATGACGCTACAGTGCTTGCAATATATCAAAGGGAGTTCGGCTAAGATCAGGGGTCGATGTACGTCTGTCTGTCCGTATGAACGCATTAGCATGCAGATTCTTCAGTAGGGTGCTACGCCCACTCAATCTATCATTATGCCAGAAATTGTCCAGATCGGATCATCCATTAAGAAGTTACAAGCAAAAAAAAAAGTAATGTGCAATATTGGAACAGTCGCTGCTTGGATATCTCCATCTCCCTCTCACTCCCCTTATTTGAGTAACGGGTATCTGATAGTCGAGGACGTCGACTATAGCGTTCTTTTTTGTTCCTTCTCAGGCGTATTTACTTTTTTAAAATGTAGAATTAAATCACTGTGGACGGCAGTACACGCAGGGGCGAAGCGCGCAAGAGAGCGTGCGAAGACAACTACTATATATAGCCGCAGAATTGAAAATCTGCCATTATGGTCCGATCGTAACGAGTGATACACCAATCGAAAGGTATCGCACTAACTCAATCAAGACTTTCGAAATATAAATTTGTTTGGGAGAAAAAGCGGTGAAAGTGTAAAAGTAAAAATTTAGAAAATTGGAGCTTCTGGATACGGTGGGAATAAAAGCCGCCGGCTGTTTAGCTAGTTTTATTCTTACTGAGAATACGCGTCGAATGACATCTCATTTGTTGAAATCCGATGTCCCGTTCAAAAGTAATTCAAAAAACAAGATTTTCTTCTTCTTCCCAAAATGAAAATGTTTGCCCCTTTGTTTGTGGGTTTGTATGCATCCCATCTTAGTTTTAGGGTTTTGGAAACCCTATGGGTGTATAAAGTAGCTTGAAATAGAAAACGTTTGTTCTACGACTTTTGGAAAAACCCGCTAGTTTAGCGGAAAACCAAAAAAAAAGCCAGATTTAAAATGCTTATAGTAGCGAAACAACTAATGCTACAGAAACGTGCTATCTATCTCTGAAAAGATAATTTAATTTGCTTAATACTCTTTAAATAGTAAAATTGTATGAATATAATAGATTAAGAGTTACGATAAAAAGGTATTTTTTAAAACCACTTTTTGACTATTTGCTCAAAATTGAGTCGAATGATTTATTTTTAAATTTTATATCATGTAGCCCTTGAGATTCCTCAACTTTTAATATATAACACTTTTTGCCCTAAAAATTACCGTTTGGAAGATATAAAGCGATAAAAAGTGCAACTGGTTTCAGCTCCGTATACGTAATATTTCATACTTATTGGAATAAACAAGAAAAAAACCAATTTGATGCAAAATATTCTTATTAGATTTTTTCAAACGGAAAATCTGTTATGGTTTTAGGGTCCTTTGCTTGCATGAAGCTAATCGAAATAGGAAACTTGATCAATTTGTTCTACCACCTTGGAAAAACCCGCTAGTTCAGCGGGAAATGTAAGAAAGGACAGATTTCTCTTGGAATTTGAAACTATACAACCCTTGAGATTCCAAACTTGTGCTATTAAAATAGGTAATTGAAGCGATAAAACTTGT